TCTCATTTTCTATGCAATCAGTATCTCATTTCACTTGATAACATACTGTAGGACTCTCCACATCTAGTTTTCTATGCAGGGTCTCGATATCCCGTTTTATGCAGGAGTCTCGACATCTCATTTTCTATGCAGGGAGTCTCAGTATCTCATTTCACTTGATAACATACACTTTGCTAGGACTCTCCACATCTAGTTTTCTATGCAGGGAGTCTCGATATCCCGTTTTCTATGCAGGGAGTCTCGACATCCCATTTTCTATGCAGGGAGTCTCAGTATCTCATTTCACTTGATAACATACACTCTGCTAGGACTCTCCACATCTAGTTTTCTATGCAGGGAGTCTCGATATCCCGTTTTCTATGCAGGGAATCTCGACATCTCATTTTCTATATCAGCAGGCAATTAGGGTGAGTGGAGGGGGGTACTCTCCTAGATTGCTACTTACACATTTTCTTAACTTGGGAGAGAACGACCTTGAAGATTACGACCCTAAGAACGTGTGTGTGTGTGTGTGTGTGTGTGTGTGTGTAAAGAAATATATAGGTATGAGGACTTAGTTTTAATGACTTTATGGATATTTTAAAGTAAGTCTTTCTTTCTTTCTTTCTTTCTTTCTCACTTTCTTTCTCTCTCTTGCTTATTCTGTTTATTTCTGTTTTATATTCGTTTTTCATATTTTTTAATCTTTTTTTCTTGTCTATTTCTTTTCATTTCACCTTTCTTTGTTATTCTATCTCCCTCTCCGTCTGTTTGTCTGTCTGTTCTAGTTCCTTATTATCTCCATCTCTTTCTTTTCCTATTTCTCTCTCTCCTTTAATATAGATCTATCATTCTCTCTCTCTCTCTCTCTGGGTCGTTAAGAGCAAGTTGTCGTTAGGTCCAACATCTGGTGAGACATGTTCCAGACTTGTTTGTGACAGCCAACCGTAAATACCGCTTGATTCACCGTGTGTGTGTGTGTGTGTGTTGGTGTGTGTGTGTGTGTGTGTGTGTGTTGGTGTGTGTGTGTGTTGGTGTGTGTGTGTGTTGGTGTGTGTGTGTGTGTGTTGGTGGTGTGTGTGTGTGTGTGTGTTTTCTTTTTCATCCACCTGTTCTATATATCCACCTTTTTCTCTCTCTCATTAGCTTCTTACATCTTCTACCTCTCTTATCCTCCCCTCTTATCCTCCCTCTTTATCCACCTCTTTCTTCTTCATCCTTTAATTAATTTTCATATATCTCTTGTTCTTCTTCTTCTTTACTAATTTCTCTTCGTTTTTATTTTCATTCCCTAATCTTCTTCGTCTACTCTATCCCTCCTTCATTCGTTCCCTCCTCCTCCTACTCCTTCCTCTGCATTATCTTTTCTTTCTTCCTTCCTTACTCTTCTTTATCTCTTCCTTGTTCCTTCTCATTTCCTGTCTTCTTCTACCTTCCTTACTTATTGTTTTTTCTTCTTCCTTCATTTATTTCTTTCTTCCTTCCTTCCTTCCTTCCTTCCTCGGGGCAGTTAACACAGGTTGTCATGGTAACGCTTTCACCTAGAGTCCTAGATGATGCTCTCTCTTCTGCTTCGAACCCTCCAGATTCCCTCTCATCTCCTCTCCCATCTCCCTCTCTCTCATCTCACCTCCACCTCTTTCTTTTTCCCTCTCACCCCCCCCCCCATACCTCCTATTTCTCCTCCTTCCTCTCCCTCTCACTCTCCCACCCCCTCTCACTCTCCCCCCCTCCCCACTCGTTGCTAGGATACGGGCATCACCATAAAAGTAACACAGTCTCTGATTCCAGGTGAGAGAACATTTCGCTGTACGGCTCATGTGTGACTTATTGTGTATCAAAGGTTCCATCCATCCACCCATCCACCCATCCATCCACCCATCCACCCATCCACCCACCCATCCATCCATCCATCCATCCACCCACCCATCCACTCCACCCATCCATCCATCCATCACCCAAATCCCTCTCTCTATCTATCTATCAAATTCCCTCTCTATGTGATATGTATGTATGTATGTATGTATGTATGTATGTATGTCGACCAAGACCTTGAGAACACCCGACCACTTAAGGGAGACAACAACCACGGTAGAAATAATACACCTGTTGGTTTACCTTCCACCACAGGTATGATAATCTCTCTCTCTCTTCCCGGGTTATTTTTGTTTTGTTTTCTTGTGATCCATTTAATTATTATTTTTTTTTTAGTTTTACAATTTCTTATGTTTTTCACACACACACACACACACACACACACACACACACACACACACACACACACACACACACACGGAAAATACGCACATTATTGACATTTTACTATTGTTTCGAGGTCATCCTTCCTCCTTCCTCCCTCCTTCCTCCTCCTTCCTCCTCCCTCCCTTCCTCCTCACACTCAATCCCTTCCTTTTCCTTCCCCAAAAGCCTTATTCTCTCTCCCTCCATAGTTCCCCTTCTTTTATTCCTCCCCCTCTCCGTCTCCTACCCTCCCTAAACGCCTCCCCTCTGCCCCCTTAACCAACCCACGCCACTAACCTTTAACCCTTTAAAGCCACAAACACCAGGTTTAACCACTATCTGCCCCCCCTTCGTCCCTCCTCTTCCTTCCTTTTCCTCCTCCTTCCTTCTCTCCCCCTTCCTTCTTCCCCTTCTCTCCCTTCCTTCTTCCTTTTCCTCCCTTCTCTCTATCTCCTCCCTCCTTCCTACTTACCCCCTCCCTCCCTAGGTTCATTTTAATGGAGGGGTGGGGAGGGGGGAGGGGGGAGGTGGAGGGCAAAATACCGTGTTTAAATCTCAGTGCGTTCTTTGTTATGCGTTCGGTTTTATATTCCTAGCGCGTTCCTATGCGTCGTGCGTTTTTTCTTATATT